TGTCGGATCCATGCTGGACTCGTCGGATCCGTGTCGGATCCGTGTCGGTTCCGCGTCGAGTCCCCGCCAAATCCGCGTCGAGTACGCATCGAGCCCGCGTCGGGCACAAGAAGAGACACCAATTTGGGGAACAGGCGAGGCACCACGAAGATGCAGCGACAAGTGGGTGGCTCCGTGGCCGACCAGACGACGTCGTGTGCAATTGAGCCCCCCTTCTCAGGGCGGCAGGGACAGGGACCCAGACCTCGAACGCCGGTCAGGACAAACAACTTCGCCATCTTCTCACTGCCCCGACCTTGCAGACGTGCTGCAGCGGATTTTTGCGTGGATTTCTGTCAGCGCAAAAGCCCGAAAAGGCGAGTGAAAAGCGGCATGAATTTCGCGTGGATTTTGTTCTAGTCTTCATTCCTGGACAAAAAGATCCGCACGAAATTCACCTCGAAATCCAGAACATAATTCTCCAGGACACTCTGGGCCCATCCGATCGTTTTCCAAACGAAATCCGCTCTGCGATGTTGGCGCCAGGTGTCTTCGGCCTCACGGGAGCCGCTCTTGGGCGCCAGGGCCGTCAGAAAGCAGCTCGGGGAATCACAGAGGGGGCGCTTTTGGAGGGGGGTCGAGAGGCCCGTGGGCACACGCCTTGAACAAGACTCCGAGCGCCAGGACGTCTGGGGACGAGGGGGGCAAGGATTAGGTCGGGCATGTGTCCTCCTAAAGGCGGAGCTTGGACGACTTTTGTTTTTTGACTGTTTTTGTTTCTTTCTTTCGTTTTTTTTTGGGTTAAAAAAAGTTTAATAGCCGAACAATCGTCCCCATACTATTCTTGTGGCTAGTTCGAACATGTTCCTTCAGACATGCCCGACTTAAGAGGCAAGGACGAGGGGGCGGCAGGAGAAGGCGGGGGGCGGGGGCCAGCCTTGGCTCCCAGCACCAGGCTCCGGAGGCCCCTGGCGACCTCCCGTATAAGTGGACCTGGAACTACGGGAAGTCGCCACCAGACTGCTCGCGGCCCCTCGGAAAACTGCCTCTGCCGACCTCCCGCCAGTGGGTCCACTGCAGGAGGCCTTAGCCTGAAATCAGGCGTGTCCTCCGACAGGCGGACTTTGAACGAAAAGTTTGAAAAAGTCAGCAAGTATCCCCCAAATGTTCGAAAATATGAGAGACAAATCGTCCCCAGACTATTTTTACATACTATTTTTCAAGACTCCCCCCGTAGAGGGACACGCCCGACTTATACCCTTAGCCGGCCGAACAGCCAGGGGGGGGAGTGGCAGCGACGAGATGGCAGGGGCCTGGGGGCCATGGGGACCAGGGGCGGGGGGGAGGATGACTACCTACCAGACCACCCCAACCCAACCCGAAGACCCGAATTTCGGGTTGGGGGGGGTAAGGGTTCCACACGTGTTTTTTTTCGATGTTCCCCGACCCCCCCCCACTGGAAATCGAGGGCAAATCGGAGCCTTCGGGTTGGGTGGGGGTGGTTTGGTGGGTAGTGAGAGGACAGTGACGACAACTAGGGCTCCCAACTTCGCGCTTCGCGCTGCGCGAAGCGCGAAGCGCGAATAACTTCGCGCTCTCGCGCCGCCCTCCCAAAGGGAGAATAGGAGGACGAGGAGGAGGGGGAGAAGGAACGAGGACCGCGAAGCGCGAAGCGCGAATAACTTCGCGCCCTCGGGGGAGCCCTTGCGACAACGGCGAGGGACAGGAGGCCGCGAGCCGCCCACCCCGCCCCCCTCCCAGAGCTGCCAGGTGCCCCTCCCGAAAACGCGGCGTCGCGGCGCCGGAGCGCCCTGGCCGGCGCTTTTTGCCCAGAGGGAGCGCCGGCGCGGATCGGGGACGACGGGGAGGTCCACGTGGAGCGCCGAATCCGATTCCCCAAAAAAGGACCCCTGACCCTTTCTGAGGGGACCTGCGTTAGAGGAGGGCCGAGAGCATTTTAGGGACCTGGAGGTCTCTCTGCAGACGTACACCCTGCGAAATGCTTAAGAAATCATGGGTTAAGAAATTCATAGTCTCGGAACTTGCATAAAAAACCCAACATTTCCATTAAAATCTTAGGATTTACATTGAAACGTTAAGAATAATCGAGACTCTGGCCGAAAACTTAAGTTTTCTAAAGCATCGCCTAAGGTGTACCACACGAAACCGCCCAGACTCACGATCCCTGATGCGAAAACGTGGACCGTAGTGAGGCCACGTCTTCGCTATGTTGTGAGGGTGGGGAGTTCCTTGTTGAAGGGGCCCCAGGACACACAAATAAATACACACAAATGAAAATGTCCCCCATATTTTCCCATAGTTTCTGGGATTTTGTCTTCCCCCCCACTTCCCATATTTTCCCATATTTTCTGGGAATCGCCGATTAATTGTTTCTGTGTGTTTTTTCCCCTCCTGACTTTTCCCTCGATGAGGACAAGGAGCGCGACGGGGCTCGTCAAGCCACGTCGAACCTGGGCCGCCCGCAAGGTCCTCGTGGCCCGGATCCGGGGAGCGGCCTGGAAACCCGAGCCCCTCCTGAGCCCAGAGTGGGCCTCCTCCTCCTCCTCCTCCCTCCTCCTCCTCCTCCTCCTCCTCCTCCCCCTCCTCCTCCTCCTCCTCCTCCTCCTCCTCCTCCTCCCTCCTCCTCCTCCTCCTCCTCCTCCTCCTCCTCCTCTTGTACCAGCATCTTGACTGCAGGACGGGAGTGTAACCTTCGAGCTCAGATAGTCTGGTGGGCAACCTTCAGACACAGATATCCGCCACCGCGCCCAGGGGCACGAGTCGGAGTGTCCTCATCGAGTTCTCTGCGCTGGATGTGGTGGATACTCTTTACGGGACCGACGCAGATCTCCTGAGCGCTCTTGGGCACTCCTGCGGTCGGTCGCGTGGCTGTTCCAGACACGACACAAGAGGGCTCCAAGACGGGCCAAGAGGACCCCGAGAGGCCCTGAAGACGGTCCAAGATGGCCCCGAGTCGCCCAAAGGTCGCTCCAAGACGGCCAAGATTGTCGATAGACGGCCCAAGAAGCCCCCAAGATGCCCCAAGAGGACTCCAAGAGGCCCCACAAGCAGGCCCAAACTCCCAAACCATTGCTCATACTTAAGTTGTTTGAAGGAGTCTGATGTTCTTGCCCTCTCTGGCCTTCCTCAATCCAAGACGGCTCCCAATGCCCCCAAGATCGCCATAAGACGGCCCAAGAGGCTCCCAATAGCGCCCCCAGACGGTCGAAGATGGCCCCAAGACGACCCAAGAGGCCACCAAGACAGCCAAATAGGGCCCTAAGACGGGCCCAAGAGAGGCTCTGGAGGGAGAACACGAATCGATAGTTCAAGCCCTTTGCCCCAAGATGGCCCCCGAGGCTGCCCGAAGGGTCTTCTTGTGGGCCGCCCCGCCACCAAACCGAGCTAAGCTCACAAGTGCCCTTCCCGCCCCCCTCCAGAACATGAGGACACGAGGGGGACCGTTCGGGGGAACGGGCTCATGCGAGGACGCGTTGATCTGACATCGGCGATGCTGGGGGAACGAAAAATGACATAAACATAAAAACTCGGAGGTCCGCGCGGATTTCTCAGATCGGCGCTGGACCCCCATCCCTGGCGCGCGGAGCGCGCCAGGAGCGGCGCCGGAGGCGCCGCCAAGGGGGTCCAGCGCGGATCCGAGAAATCCGCGCGGACCTCCGAGTTTTTATGTTTATGCCACTTTTTGTTTCCCTATCATGCGAGGACGCGTCGATCTGAAATCGGCGATGCATCGCCGAGAGACCGGCAGTGGGCCCCCGATGGCGAATCCGCACGCCCCTAGAGGCGCGTCGGGCTGTTGGGCCCCTGTCGGCGACGAGCGGACGCTTGGGTCGGTGCATCCGCCCCCTGAGCCTCTTCCCCCCCGACTGTTGCCCCGCAGGAGCAAGGAAGAGAGGACGAGGAGAGGAGGACGAGGAGGAGGAGGAGGAGGAGGAGGAGGAGAAGGAGGAGGAGGAGGAGGAGGAGGAGGAGGAGGAGGAGGAGAGGAGGAGGAGGAGGGAGGAGGAGGAGGAGGAGGAGGAGGAGGAGGAGGAGGAGGAGGAGGAGGAGGAGGAGGAGGAGAGAGGGGAGGAGGAGGAAGGAGGAGGAGGAGGAGAGGAGGAGGAGGAGGAGGAGGAGGAGGAGGAGGAGGAGGAGGAGGAGGAGGGGGAGGAGGAGGAGGCGCCAGCTGTGCCAAGGCTACCCGCTGCTCCGTGCAGGGCCGGGGCCAGGCGCCTGCTCCTGGCCGCCCGCGTCCCTGGCACGCCGCCACCGCTCCGGGCCTTCCCCCTCAAACACAATAGACACAGACACACACACACAGACACAGACACACAGACACACAGACACACAGACACAGACACACACACAGACCCACACACACACACAGACACAGACACACACACAGACACAGACACACAGACCCACACACACACAGACACACACACACACAAGCACACACAAGCACACACAAGCACACACACACAAACACACACACACACACACACACACACAAACACACACACACAAACACACACAAAACACACACACAAGCACAAGCACACACAAGCACACACAAGCACACACAAGCACACACACAAACACACACACACACAAACACACACACACACACAAACACACACACACAAACACACACAAACACACACTCACAAACACACACTCACAAACACACACAAACACACACACACACACCGAGCAAGAAGAGCGTTCCATTGCGCTTGAGCTGCCTTCGCGTTGCGCATATTCCCACCTGGTTCCCCTGACTACGAGCCGCGAACCTACACACATCAACGCCCCGCGGTCTGCATCCCGGGGCACGATCCTGCGGGCACGCGGTCGCATGCATACACTCCGCGCGGGTCACTCGCAAAGAAAGACCCCGCATCCAAGGGGCCGAGGCTCAGGGGCCTGGCCCGCCAGGGCGCGGATATGGATACGTTTCCCGCCCACGACCTGAGACAGGTGGTGGGACGAATGAGAACAGAGGAGGACTTCTTTTTACCAATGCTGTCCTCTCAGGAGTCCGACGCCCCTCTCCGGTGGCAACTCATGGGGGCCTCCCACGCCATCCTGCTGGCTCTTGCGAGTCGACACTAAATCGACGCTAGATCGACGCGAACTGACGCCAGCCGACGCTAAATCGGAGCCATCTCACTCATCGATTACCAAGCGCTGATCGACGCTGACGCACTCTGAAGACGAAGCCACGAGGGCAAACCAAAGCTCCCATGAATTGCTACCGAACCGCGCAACGCCTTGGGCACAGGTAGAGGCCTCCTCGATGGGGTCCGAGTAGCTGGGGTCGAAGGACCGCGCCGCATCGCCAATGCAACGCCGATGTATCGGCGATGCATCGGCGACGTCGGCGATGCATCGGCGACGTTGGCGTAGGGAAACACGGGCTCCACATCAAGCCGCACAGTCGATGCATCGACGATGCGGCGCGATCCTCCGACTCCACACCTACCCGGACCCCATCTATCGGAAACTGGGCGAGGGCTGGCAAATCCGCGGCTGCTAAACCTTCCTGGAAGAAAAACACACGTTCCCGGAATCAAACTGACTGCACGAAACAGCAAAAGCGGACTGTTTCCCGGAAGAAGAAAAAACAATTTCCCAGAGCTCCGCTTTAGCAGCCACGATCTGCCAGTCTTCGCCTGGCTCCTGAATCTATAGGAGGCCAAGAACAGGGCGGCCAGGCTAGCCCACGGAGAGCATCCAGGAGTAGGTGTCCGCCAGCCTGGCCGCGGTGATCCCGGTGCTGTGCCCCTGCACGGCTCCAGTGAAGCCCTCCTGGTCTCGATCGTACCTCCAAGGGTGCTTCTGGACACAGAAGAACAGCAAAAACAACACAGGACTTCCAATTTTTCCAATGTGTTCGGTAATTTTCTGATCACTGATCCCCCTCCGCTGTCCCGATTCTCCCAGATCTTGATGGGAATCTACGTTGCTGTGCGTCTGTGCCCATTTCTCTCTCCAGAAACCTCGTGTACCTCACGACGTCCGTTGTGTTCACCTTCCTCAGGGCCCCGACCAGCCTGTCACTGCAGCTCACGGGGAAGATGCGGTCGTCTGCCGAGTGGAACACCCAGAGCGGCAGATTCCTCAAGCGGGCCAGCGCCAGCGCAGGGAGCTCGCCCGTGAAGCCGTAGGCAGCGATCACGCCGCCTGCGAAGCGTCCTGTCGTGGCCAGCTCCACGCTCAGTGTGGCGCCGTCGCTGAAGCCGAAGAGAAATATGCGCTTCGGGTCCACGGTGGGGCACCCGGCCCTACGCCCCTCGTCGCTGCAGACCCACTCGACGAACTGTATCAGCTTCTTTCTGGGCTCCACATAGAAGCTGGACTTTCCCGCGGCGTACGGGGCCACCACGGCGAAATTGTCCGCGAGCTCTCCAGGGGCGCGGCCGCACGCGAGCATCGGGTGATGCTAGGAATGGTTCTGACCCAAGATGGCACTCGCTCTCTGCGCACTTTTGGATCTCATCGGGACGGGGCTCGAGAGGGGTGCCCTGGAGGCAGTTCTGAGGACATCTTGAAAGACAGGAAAAGCTGCATCAAAAACAAAGAAAAGTTGGGAGCTCCGCGCGGATTTCCTGGATCTGCGATGAATGCCCCCCAGCGCCGCCCTGGGGGGCCTGGCGCCGATCCGAGTCATCCGCGCGGAGCTTCGAAAGTTTATGTTTACGCAGTGCCTCTTGCTCGACCCCTGGACCAGGGCCACCTAGGACGAGAGCAACGCCGTGATACAATTGGCTCGGGAGAAGTCCCAGAAATTCCAGAGTATCTAGCGACCCTCGTTTCTACAGCCCGCGCGGAACATGAGAAGTAAAGAACGCCCTGGGAGACTGGGGCATCTTAGAACCGATCATCATCATCATCATCATCATCATCATCATCATCATCATCATCATCATCATCATCATCATCATCATCATCAGCATCAGCATCATCATCATCATCATCAGCATCATCATCAGCATCATCATCGTCATCGTCATCGTCATCATCATCACCATCACCATCACCATCATGATCATCATCATCATCATCATCATCATCATCAGCATCATCATCAGAAGCATCAGCATCATCATCAGCAGCAACATCATAAGCATCAGCATCAACATCAGCAGCAGCATCATCATCAGCATCAACATCATCAGCATCAGCATCATCATCAGCAGCATCATCATAACCACCAACAACATCATCACCATGATCATCATCATCATCATAACCACCAACAACATCGTCATCATACTCCTAATCATCATGACCTCTTCCTCCCCCGAACACTCTTAGCAACACCCGGGGAGCAGACTCGGAGGAAGGCCCCCGTGCTCACCCCTGGGATCCGCCAGGTCCCACACGCCGCGGTCGTTTCTGCCGGCGCCGTGCAGCACCAGCAGCAGCGGCAGCTTCTTGCCGCCCGAACGGGGGGGCGAGTAGGCAAGGGCGCTGTAGGTACCTGGGTCGGCCACCTCTCAGGGAGCAAATGACATAAAAACACCACAGCTTGCGGAGGTCCGCGCGGCTTCCCCGGATCGGCGCCTGAACCCCCTGGCAGCGCCGGCGCGCTCCGCGCGCCAGGGAGACGGCTCCAGCGCCGATCCAAAAAATGAAGCGCAGCCCTCCGAAAACTCACGTTCATGTGATACAGTCCAATAACCAGCCTCGAACTTATCCCTATCCCGAAGATGGGCGAGCAAAAAGGACGATCTTAGGGATAGGCCCTCAGAAACTGGGGGAATCCTTAAGATCGGCATCGAGGTGAGGTGATGCCAAACATAGGGATAGGATATGTTTCAAATTGGTAATCCAAATCTCTAATAAGGACGGGCGGTAGGGACGGAAGGGCCTCGGACACCGAAGTTGGCACTTCTCGGGCGGCGGAGGGCCCACACCAGGAAGGGCCGCCCAGGGAAAACCGCGAAGGACGGGCCGCAGAGGCAGGGACGCAGAGGGTACCCGAAGGACATCCCTGCGCCCTTCGTGCGATTCTGACTGTCTTCGGGGGAAAACAAACCTACCTCGCTTTTGACCACCCTCGCTTCCAAGAGATACCAAACAATGCCAAATTGCGGCCTGTACTGGTCAGGACGCTTGACGAGGAGGCGCGTGGTATGGCTTGGTTTTGCCTGGAAGCGAAAGCGGGGGAGGTAATTCACGCTCTGATGTCTGGCTTGTTGGCGGCGCGCAGAGGGGGCCAGGGGGGGGGGGAAGGCTTCCTAGAAGGAGGCTGCTCGCGCAGAAGGCGCGGGCCCCACGTGCACAGACGAGGCCCGCGCGCCCGCGCCTTCTGGGAAGCAGGGGTGCCTCTAAGAAGCCTCCCCCCCTCCCCCCTGAACCCCCCTCTGCGCGAAGCTTGCGAGCGGGGATTTATCCATATCCACCGCCTGGGAACTGACGTCCTGCTGCCCCAGCGGGCGGTGGATGTGGACATGTTTCGGCCCCCGGGGGCCCGAATATGTCCCTGTCCACCGCCTGCCGAGGCTCCGAAAACTGACCCTCCAGGCGGTGGATGTGGATAAGTTCCCGCCTCGGATGGCTGATATTTACCAGCCTGGAACATATCCCTATCCCTATGTTCGGCATCGCCTCATCACGATGCCAATCTTAGGGATTTCCTCCTTCTTTTTTGAGGGCGAATCCCTAAGATTGTCATCGCCTTTTGGCGTGTCAATCTCAGGGATAGAGGTACGTTCGAGGCTGGTACCCTGATGGTCCGCTACCGAAAATTTCCGGTAACGCTCCGCAGAGATCGGTCGCTACCGAAATACCGGAATGTAGCGCCCAATACCGGTATCAGAGCGCTCCGAAACCCGCTACTTCAACGCCCTCAAACGAAGATCCGGCCGCTCCCGAAATTCGGGGTGCGTCGAAATCGCTACCGAAAATTTCCGGTACCAGACTATCTGGGTAGGCCTTCTCAGAAAATTTCAGGAGAAGGCCTTCTCAGAAGGCCGCGGGACTTCTTAGAAGTCCGGGGGGCTTCTGAGACGTTTCCTTGGCCTATTTCGAATACAGACAGAACTTCTGAGAAGCCCTCTCAGAAGTCCAGAAACTTCTCAGAAGCCTCGGAAGTCCCGCCCCTTCTCATTTCCCCCCCGCGCCCGCCGCCGATGGTAAGATATTGCCCCGCGAACCTCCACCAGCGCGCCCGGGGCCACGGCGCCCGCGCCCCCCGCGGCCCCGCCGGCGGCAGCCGGGCAGAGCGCCAGCCCCGCGGAGGCCGCGCGGCGGCCCACCGCGCCGGCCGGCGCGGCCGCGGCGCCGGCGGCGGCGCTGGCGGCGCCGCCGCGGGGGAGGCTCGCGGCCCGGGCAGGGGGGCCAGGCTCCTGGGGGGACGAGAGCCCCTATCCCTATGTTGGGCATCTCCTCATCACGAGGCCGATCTCGGGGATTCCCCTCTTCTTTGAGGGCGCATCCCTAAGATTGTCATCGCCTCTTGGCGTGTCGATCTTGGGGATAGGGATCCCCGAAAATTTCCGGTAGCGCTCCGCAGAGATCGGTCGCTACGGAAATACCGAAATGCAGCGCCCAATACCGGCATCGGAGCGTTCCGAAATCCGCTATCTCAACGCCCTCGAACAAAGATCCGGTCGCTACCGAAATTCGGGGTGCGTCGAAATCGCTACCGAAAATTTCCGGTACCAGACCATCTGCGGACGAGAGCCCCGAACTTCCAGGAGGGCTACTGGCCATCGCTCGGACGTCCATTGCCTGTGCTTTGTTCGGTTTCGTGCGTGTTTTTTTTTTCGCGAAGTGATCAAGGATGCTCCTCGATGGTCCTCGCCGAAGGAAAAACGCACACGTCCGAGCGATGCCAAGGCTAAAAAATAGCACCCGACCGACAAGCCCTGCCCCACGAGCACTTCTAGAATCTTTTGTATCCAGGTGCCTCGTTCCGTGTCTTAGGTTTGTAGACCTCTGGTGCTAAGAAATAGCTCACTGGAAGGTCAGGGAACCCAAAGATCCGACGGTTTCGGGCCGTTTCCGGCCTCTGGGGGCCCTCGCCGGGCCTCGGGAGCGTGACAAAACGACTCCAGGCGAAGAACAAGCCCCTTGGGAGACGTGGTCCACACCTTCGGTACCCACGCATCGAAAAGTTGGGAGCCACTGGATGTCTGGGAAGGTACCGACACCGCTACTCCCTGGACCTCTCCCCGGGTGCGTCCCGACCAGAACTGCGAAGGGAGCCCAGCAGTGGCGACGAGGGTCTCCCAGGAGGTCCCCCAAAGAGCCGAGAAACGAGGCAAGGGTAACGGCATTGACACATGTCCTGAGACCCGACGTAGTCAAAACATTGCAGCGCCGAGAGAAATTACGACCTAAGCACCCAAACTCGATCGTTCTGCGCCCATTGTCGGGCCGGATCGATTTTGTAAGGGGCTCAGGGGCCCGAAACCGGACTAGAAACCGCCCGGCTCGATGTCGTGTTTTTCACTACGGGGCCCCCAGAAGTCTCGACCCTTTCCCCAGGACTGGTCTTTCCTCCAGAGTCGTTTTTGTTGACAGTCCTGGGGCCCGGGGGGGGCCCTATAGAGGCCGAGAACTGAGAAAAACCTCCGCCTTGACTTTTCCGTGCGTGGGATCTCCGGGGACGAAAAAAGTAGGCGCACGCCCGAGCGATGCCGAGGGAGCGCACGGGGCGCCTGGATCTCAAAGTGGGATGCTCATCGTGGGAGCCTTCCCGGAGACACCGGCTCCACTCTTGCGTCGGAGCTGCGTCGGACGTCCGTCGAGCTGGAACGACCCTGAGCCGAACCTGAGCCGAACCTGAGACGAACTGGAGCCGAACTTGAGTCGACCTAGGGTCGCACCAGCATCGAACAGATCCGCCAGGTGGGCTCCAGTGCAGGGGCCCTGGGACACACAAGTAATTACTTGTGTGTCCCAGGGCCCACCTGGGACACACAAGTAATTATTTGTGTTTATTTAAATAGACACAAATAACAGGATCCCCCATATTTTCCCATGTGTTCTGAGTGTTTGCCTTCCCCCCAAGTTCCCAGATGTTCCTATCTTTTCCTGGGAATCGACGATTCAGGGTGTCTGTGTGTTTTTCCCCTCCTGATCCAGGAAGGTCGCCCGAAATGCGGGACGGGAAAATGACCACAGCCACTGCTTCTTGTTTGCGCCGCCTTCCAGCCAGCCGAAAAAGAAGCAGTGGTTGTGGTCATTTCCCTGGCGCCAAGCTCAACGAACATGACCACAACCTCTGCTTTGTTTCTGCTGGCCGGAAGGCGGCAACACAAGGAAAGCAGTGGCTGTGGTCGTTTTCACGCCCCGTACGAGACGAGCATCTGGCCAGGGCCCTCCTCCCCCGAGGCTCCCTCGTCGCAGCCGCGGCCTCGCCGCGCCGCCGCGCGGCGGGGCGCCGCCTGGCCTGGGGGAGGGGGGTAATGCGGCCTGCGAGCGAGGGGCCGCCCCGAGTAAAACAGGGCGATTCCCCCCAAAAAATTTGGAGCGGGCGGCTTCTGGTAGATTTCGGCCTCGGGGGGCCCTCGCCGGGCCTCGGGAGCGTCACAAAACGATTCAGGACGAGAAACAAGCCCTGGAGAAGTGGTCCGGACTTCCGGGGCCCACACATCGGAAACACTAAAACAGAGCTAGGATCAGGATAAATCGCTCCAGAGCGTTCCGGAGCGCTCTCAGAGCGTTCCGGAACGCTCTGGAGCGGCCGCGGCGCCCAATGCATCCTCCAAACCCGCCGATTCTCTGAGGTTTCGAATGATCCCGATCCGATTTTGTCCCGATCTTCGCGTCGTGTTACAGAGGTCGCCAGAAACCCCCAAGTGACGAGCGAACAACACTAAAGGGGCCCCAGGACGCACAAACAAAGACACACAAAGAAACATATTCCCCATAGTTTCCCGTATCTTCGGGGTTTTTGTCTTCCCCCCCACTTCCCATATTTTCCCACATTTTCCTGGGAACCGACGATTAATTGTGTCTGTGTGTTTTTTTTCCCCTCCTGAAACACACACACACACACACACACACACGCACCCATAGGGGGGTTCGTGGGGAGGAGGACTGGCTATGGGTAGGGGTGCAGGTTGTCGGACCCTGGGGAACGCTCCCGTTCGGGCGGGGCCCCCCCATCCGACAACACGCACCCCGTAGCCCTCTCGGACCCCCTTATGGGTGCGGGTGTGTGCTGTTGGTTCGTCACCAAGGGAATCTGGTGACCTGCACCTCGCGAAGTGGCTCGGAAATCATGGGTTCAGAAATTCCTGGTCTCGCGCCGGCTGGTTTCCGAGATCTCGGTGAGCAATGTCCCGGGTCGCGCGTGCAAGCGGTTCCTTCCGCCGCGTGGCCAGCGCCGGCGGTTTCTTAGGCCGCGTGCCTGGGACAGGAAATTTCGAGACTCTGGCTGCACAACTACGTTTTCTAAAGCAATCCCAGTGGAATCGTAAGGTCTGCGCGCCCCCTTACTTCGCAAACCATGTGATTCCACATGGATCGCTGCTCCATCTAGTCTCTCTCTCTCTCTCTCTGCCTCTCTGCCGCATTGGAAGAGGAGGAGGAGGGAGGAGGAGGAGGAGGAGGAAGGAGGAGGAGGAGGAGGAGGAGGGAGGAGGAGGAGGAGGAAGAGGAGGAGGAGGAGGAGAGGAGGAGGGGGGAGGAGGAGGAGGAGGGGGGGAGGAGGAGGAGGAGGGGGAGGAGGAGGAGGAGAGCGAGGCGTGTGGGCTTCCCATAGTTCGGAACGATGGGAAGCCCACCGATGGACGACCTGCCGAGGGGAAGGGGGGCGCGGACCGTGGCCGAGGCGGGGCGCGGCAGCGTCGTGCCGATCTTGGTCACCGCTGATCTCGTTACTGAAGGGGCCCCAGGACACACAAACAAATACACACATAACAATATGCCCCATAGTTTCCCACATCTTCGGGTTTTTTGTCTTCCCCCCCCACTTACTAATGCGGGGTGACGATGAAAAAAAAATGGGGGAGAACGATTACAAACATAGTTTTCTGCTATTTCTGCCCAATTGTCTGACTGGCGGAGAACGATTGAAGAAATAGTTTTCCAGCCCGCGGCCGGTTCTTTCTAATCGTCATCCCGGGCGCCGCCGCGTGAACACGACCCCCGGTCATTTATTAATCGTCATCCTCCATTACAGAGTCCCACCAGCCCTCTGGGCGCAAACTCCGGCGATCGCAAGCATGGATCAAGGGGGCGTGGATTCGCGACGGGCCCCGTTTCCATGGGAGACCGCGGATTTCCGCCGCCGAGCGAGGCGGCGCCGGCCGCATTTTGGGGAGGGCACCTCCCGCGCTCCATGGATTTGGCGACCGCGCGCCAAATCCATGGGTCGCTCATCCATGTTTGCGCGCCCCCGACAGGTGGTCTGGGGAGCTTCCTCTCTCAATCCCCGTTCTGCCCCTTCGGGGAGAGGCTTGCCCCTCCCCCTGGAGCCCTTTCCCTGGGCCTGGACGAGGGGTCCCCACGGGCAGTTCGAGCGCCCAAGATGACCCATGATGGCTCCTGCAGCGCCTCAGAGTGCACAAGAGGGCCTCCAAGATGGCTCAAGATACCAGATCTTGGTCACCGCCGATACTGTTACATTGAACGGGCCCAGGGGCACATATGTATGTACATACATACATACATACATACATACATACATACATACATACATACAGACAGACAGACAGACAGACAGACAGACAGACAGACAGACATACACACACACATATCCATACCTACCTACCTACCTACCTACCTACCTACCTACCTACCTACCTACATGCATGCATGCATGCATGCATGCATGCATGCATACACACATACATACATGCATGCATACATACATACATACATACACATACATACATACATACATACATACATACATACATACATACATACATACATACACACATACATACATACATACACATATACATACATACATACACACACATACATACATACATACATACATACATACATACATACATACATACACACATACACACATATATACATACCTACATACACACATACACACCTACATACATACACACATACAGACCTACAGACCTACATACCTACATACATACATACATACATACATACATATATAAATACATACATACATACATGCATACATACATACATACATACATACATACATACATACATACATACGTACATACT